AAGGGGTGAGCGGCGGCGTTACGAGGATGCGCTGCGAGTCCCCGCGGTTCGCCAGAAGAGCTGCGGGCGGCAGCTGCAGGGGCGGGTTGGAGCGGTGCGTTCCCCCGTTTCCTTCGGCGGGAGAGGTTAAAACCATGAGTTGTGAATTTTGGAAGATACCCCTTGCAGGGGGAAATGCCTGCTGTCCTTTCGCGGCTCGCTCCTCGGGCACGCTTGTCTCGGGCGTTTCGCTGCCGGGGGCTCCGCATCCTCCTGAGCTACGAGACCGTCGCACAGTTCGGGAATAACTGCTAACACTTACAAAGAGTGCAAGCTTTTAATTAGAGTTATAATCAGTTCCTTTGAAATAGTAATTTCTAGCATTCGAAATTTTAAAACTTCATTTTAGCATTTCTAGGCTTGCCAAACCAATTATTTCACTTTATATTTGGATCTGCTTGGTAGCTGGAACTTGTGTCATGGTATTGCTGTGAGGGTGCCTTCCACAGCAAGAAGCAGTAGCAGGAGATGAGGAAATGTATGGTTCTTTTGCAGTGCAGGACAGGTGGCTTTTGGAGCAGTAAATGGCAAGTCTGTTATGCCGCAGTGGGCTGAAGATTCCAGTTACGGTGTGATTCCCCCAAGGGAGTCCTGCTTGTGTGCAGTGCGGCCTAGGAAGGTGCATATCTCTTTGGGAAAAAAACCTAGCATGGACAGCAAAAATGTTTACAGCACTTTATTTCTTGGGTTTGGGGGGGTGGGGGTGGGGGGGGTTGCGTTAAAACTGTGGCTATTTGTTGTGTATACTGGGTAGTTGTGAAGGGCAACAGACCTGAAGTTTTCTTTAGCATTTAAGGTAACTTTCAGCCTTCACAGCTTGAAAAGGTGAACCTTCTGTATGGAGAGAAGACAAATTGTGACAATTTGTTTTCTTGCTGTCAAGGTCTGGTTGCTTCCCACGGCTGCTGTAGTGGTGATGGTGTCTTTTCCTTATGGACAACTTCAATCATCTGTGTCTTATGCAGCACGCACCTGGAACATGTCACAGAGCTGGAGATGTTTGCTCTGCACTGGGAGGTTCAGATTCTCAAAACAGGATGCTCTCTTGAATTTCTTTTAAAAAATGATCTGAGTAAAGTTTCTGCAAAGAATGGAGCTTGAATATTTGGTGTGTTTTAGTTTCTTTTTTTTAAATCTCAGTTTTGCATGTTTTCAGCTGTCCTTCTGGAATAGGCAGAACAGAGTCTGATCACTTCTGTTCATCTGCAGTCTTGCTTCTCACACAGTTTTCAAACACTTTGCTGTCACTCACTATTTCCCCATCAAACTTACTTGAATATTACAGTTTCTTCATGCTTGAGGGGGAAGCTCAGGACAAGTTGCCCATTTAAAAATGATGGACCTTTTCTCCTCATCCTAGAGGAATTCCCTGTGAACCTCTGACAACAAATGAGTGTTGAATAGCAGGTGGTAAATCCTGTTCTGGTGATGGAAAAGTCTTCTGCATCCCACCAATATTTAGAGGAGAACAAAAAGTTGATAGGCAGGTAATGGACTTGGGTTGTGGCTGAGGTTTTGATGGAACTGCTATTTGTGGCCAACAAACAAGGGGAGAGAACATGCATGTGCTTTCCACCCAAGGCTGTTAAATGCTTATGCCTTTCCTTTTGGAACAGTGTGGTGGTAAGCATAGAGATATGGGCAGTGGTGAGTGCCAGCTGCTCGTGTGGGCTTTTTGGCTCCAGCTGGACTGAGGAGGAAGAGCTCCCGAATGGGTGCTGTTGCCTGATGGAGTGTAAGGGTCAGTGTTTGATTTTTGAGGTGTCCCTGGACCCTACTCAGTGGGTGACATTCCTCGGGCCGCTGCACAGGAGGACTGTTGAAGGGTGCGCTCTGACCTTGATATTATTAAAGCCAGACATGGAATGTAAACAGGTCTTTGTGGCCCGTTTTAAGATACGGAAACACAACTTTTGCTAGAAGTTCGTGTTAATAAGTAAGCTCACTGGTGTGTAAATAATATGCGTTCCTTGGGGGGTTATCTTCACTGTGAATTTACAAAAGACTGGAGCTAAAAGTTTTAATTTGACTTTAAAAATAGAAAATGCCTCTCAGTATTTGATTAAAGGGTATGAAAGAAGAGCAGGGACCTGCTGGAGTCTTACCTGTTGTGCAGTGTCCTTAACTGTGTTAAATGAGATGCAAGCATTGATTTTTTTTTTTTTTTTTAATTTTTTTTCACTGTCTTCTTTCCATACCCAGACTGATAATTCAGGTCTTTTATCTAAGTAGATTCAACTTGCATTTACTGTAAAGTTAGGTAGTTAAAGAAGAATCAAAGTAAGGGCCTGGCCCCTGGGCATGAGTATCTGCTGAAATGTGTGTAATTGTATTTTCAACATGATTAGGTGCCTAACGTGTAAGTGGCCATGACTTAGGAGTTCTCTCACACTTTATTCTTCACTTTGCAGCATTAAAGCATTGAACAGTACACCTACAGACAAAAAGAAAAAGGCTCCATACTCTTCAGCTTTTAAAAAAAATGGTGGGTATCTTGGGCTGAGAAGAAAACCTGTCTGGGTGGGAGGTGAGGAACAGTAATATTTTACTAATGTTAATAAATAACTGATGAGGTCAAGGGGAAAAAGTGGCATGGTATTTTTGATGAAGGTGAAGCTGCTGTTTGCTGCTGCTCTGGCCCAGCCTGTAGGCCCCACGCTGTAGTGGAATAGGGGGTTGCTGTGGCAGAGCATAACAGTGAGGGGGTGACAATGACAGAGAGGGCTCTATCTCTGCACCCCAGAGCCATTGGGGTACTTGGGCAATGTTGTGGCAGACCATGGGGTCAGTTCTGGCCTTTTCTCTGGGTTGTCTGGATGCTTGCAGAAACGTGGGGATGGCTTTCTGCCTCACCTGCCCCTGGAGCCTGGCTGGGTTGGGGTAGCTGGACAACAAGCTGCCTACTCCAGAGTGGTGTGGGGAGCACATCCCAACATCCCACTGCTGCCTGGCAGGGGGCAAGGGGCAGAAATGCCTCCTCTTCTTAGCTGCATGACCTCCATGCACAGGTACTGGAGACTTTTGGCAATGCTTCCCACCACCTGCATCGTTAAGTGCTAACATGACCCAGAAATTATGACTGCAGCCTGACTTTCAAACCTCTGCTGGTGTCGCTGACATTTCTTGTTCGCTGTGGTCCAGCGGCTCTGCTAGTCTGATGACTAATGGGTTGTGATGGCCATGGAGATAATAATTGGAGGAAAAAGTAGCTGGTGAGGAAGAGGAAATACTAAACCTCTAAAATGCATAGCATGTTTTCTGCTGCTAGGATTGTAAAATATAAACCAGGAGGAGACTCGCTGCTGAATAGTCTTCCCACGTTTAAGTCACCCTGGCTTTGTGTAATCTGTAGTTATCAGAGACTGGACAGTCCTAATATGCTTGGTGCAGGTGTATCTGGGCCGGAAAGTAAATGGATTAAAATCCATTTGGGATTTCAGTGTTGAGATTCGACTCTCGAATTGTAAAATTAGGCCCTACCATGAAATAGGGCAGGAATATGAAGCACATCAGAAAGTTGCTTTAGTGCTGACAGCTTAGGGCTTGAGGATACAGGGGATGAAATGATTCATGTGTGACTTTAAAACTTCTTTGCTAGTTTTCTTAAACTAAATGGTTATGTCATAAAAGCTTGCTTGATGTCCCTTTTTGTGGTGATCAGAGTTAGTGATCAGTGATAGTGGTGATCAGGTATTAGGAAACTGGTGGGTGCATCTAGGTTTTTAAATTGGCTGAAGATGGAGCTTTGGGAAACATAAGCAGTCTTTGAATAAACAAAACCCCCAAACCAGTGCATGCTAAATATGCTCATTTACAGGGTCAAGGAAACCTTATGCAAACCTATGGGTCCCGTGATGAAATTCGTTGTCTTTGGTAAGAGTGATTTGAAGCTTTCTTGTAACTTTGCAAGGCTTTTGCAACTTAAGTCTTTAATAAGCGTTCTTATTTTAATAAGATTTCTGTCTTTGACACACCTTCCATTTGCACCCACTAATATTTGTCATACTATAAGCTGAGCTTTTTTTTCCCCCTTTCAGCTCTTCCACTCAAGGCACTGCTGGTGTAGCAGGATGCTCCACCTTGTTTTCGTGTCTTCATTGCCTTTTGTGTTCCCAGCTGAGACTTCCTCCTCTATCTCTTGCACTTGGTTTCTGTGTCTTGGACAATGGGCATCTTTGAGAGGTTTTCATATGCTTCATGGAAGGGCCATGCCCTTTTCTAATGATTGCTTGAAAATAAGTGACCAGACTTTATAATAAACATTCGTTCATGCCCAGAGCAATTTCTCCAATTAGAAGCTGATGTTTCAGATGGAGTTTTCAAGAAATGTATGTGCAATAATTAAACTAACTAGCAGGAGTTATAATTCAGCAAAGTCGGCAGGGCTGGGCTGTTGTGCATTGTTCCTGCTCGGCCAGGCATAGGCGGGGAAACGTTTTTTTGCTGCGCTGGGAGCTGGAGCTAAGTGCTCCCTTTCTTTTCTCTCCCTGCCATGTTCTCTCTTGCTACCAAAAATTAAATTAACACCCCACCAGTTTAGGTTCAGTAATTTTCACTGTGAGTTTTCCAGTCATTAGCGGATGATTATGGTGCAGTGTAGACTGTTGGACATTAAATGTTATTCATCTATGCCCAGTCATAAACTGTCAATTGTCTTTTTTCCTCCCAATTATCTTCTTTATATAATGAAAATTTCTTTTCAGTGAGGGAGCATTAGGTTTCATAGTAATAAAACCTCTGAGGACGAGTTTACTGCAAAGTCATCTACACCTTTTGTATGCCCCGTGGTATTACCATGGGAACTTCAGGGGATGTAAACTACAATTTCTCATTCTGTCCCACCCCAACTTAGAGCTGGTTAGAGATCTACTAAAGACTCTTTATATCTGTGAGGTGGCTATTGCAGCCTTAAAAAAAAAACCAACAGAAGGTAAAATTAAACTCATGGCCTGGCAGAGGTGCTTATGAATTTACTCCCAACTTTGAGCAAAGAACTTCACTGCTCAGAAGTGTCGAATTGGGCCCTTAATGTACTTTGTAAAAGCAGCTTTTAGAAACTCGGGAGAAAGGGGAAAGAGCTAAATGAGTATGGACTGCATATAAAGTGCCTGATTTCTCAGTATGTGGTTTGCGCTTGTGTTTTGGAGAGTGAAATCTTGGAGTCAGAAATGCTGTTTGCTCTTTAAAGAAAGCTGTGGATGGTCTGCAAGACTAATGCAGGTTGCTTAAAACATATTGTGAAAATTAAAAAAAAAAAATAAATCCACAGGAAGGAAAGATATGACCTATTAAATTTCATTTCCTTTTATCTTTTTTTCCTCGAAGAAGCTTCTCTTGATAAAGCAAAGTCAAATACACTGATGCATGGGTATTCATTGTGCAACTCCGAGGAAGGATTTATAAGGTTAATGGCCAGCTAGTACTGTCTCCCCACCTCCTTCCACCCCACAAAGAGCACCATTGTATAGTAGAGTACTTCCTGGTAAGTCATCCAGCCTCTCCGCCTGAAGTAGTGATGCTGTAAGGAAACTGTGGTGGCCGAGAGCAGCCCTCAGCTGCGGGGCTCTGCTGAAGCACAAGTGGCACTAGAGCCCACACTCCCTCCATCTCTTTATCTCTGCATGAGGGTCTAGTCTTTAATTAAACGCTCCTCGTTTCCCTCCTCAAAGGGCCCTTGTCTTTGCTGGGGAACGGTGCAGAGGGTATGCACTGAATGAAGTCCTTGTCAGGTGTTACTCCCAGTGCTTAAATGCGCTCCTGGGCTGCCAGCATCATGTGCTGCCAGGCTGCTCACTAAATCAGCTTTCCGTGTGTCCTGCTCCTCTTTTGTACATAGTAATTTTTGGTTTTAAAAAGGCTGAGGTGGATGAGGTGTCTGGGGGCCATGGCAAGGGATGGCCATAGGGCCATCAGCCACAGACACCCCCGTCCTGCCTGCTCCTCTTTGTGGTTTTGCAGCACGAAAACTCAGTAATGTGTTCCAACTTTGTTCTGTCTTTGTAATTTTCTAGTTAGAGGCATGTTGCTTAATATTTTATTTATCAGATTATCAACTGTTAATGATTTTAGTGGGCTAAGTTCACACCTTCTACACATCTTCCCATAGTTAAAAATTTAGCTTGAAATAGATTTGTTTTGATTCCTGGAAAAATGTGTGTTTAGTGCAGAGATGTTACAGGAAGGGTCAGCTGTGTATGAAAACACTGCTATCGTTGGGCTTGAGTGACATGTTTTTGATTCATCTCCTTTGTAAAGGGCGCTGTAATGAAGTTGGCGCTCTCTGGTGCTGTTGCCTCAGGCCATTCATCCTGAAGGTGAACCTGTCCTCCTTTCTGCTGGCCAGCAGAATTACAGCTTGTCCCCTGGGTAGGGCATGCTAAAGCTTTACCACATTCTCATCTGCATTCAAGACATACATCCATTTAGAGAGAGCAGCAGCAAAGATGCAACCCAGACAGATCTGGTGTCCTTCAAGACTCTTGGCATCCAAAACTCCCTTCTGAGCAACATCACACCTTCCCTTGGCTTCAACAAGCATACCATGGCCAGGCTTCTCTTTTCTTGGTGGTCAAGGAGAGGCTGAAGTGTTGGAAGAAAATAAAATCTGCAACCAGATGGTGGCTTCCCCTTCATAAACTGTGGCTGTGAAATGTGAGGATGGGAGGAACTTCTTAGTGTTTTCTGCAGTAGCAGAAATTTAATGGGTTTCTGAAAATTCAAGCTCTCTACAAACTTTGTTTCTTTGGTTTAAATACAAAAGCATAAATGTTTTGATTATTTTCTAATGATGTTGATGGCTGGAAATGTTATTGCAGTCTCCAGTTTCCAGTATCAAAACTGCTCCCTGGGTGGGCCAGTTCTGGAAAGGTTTTTAAGGCTTTTATGTTCTTCTTGGAATAAAATCCCTTCACCTAATATGTAAACATGCTTTCTTCTGTCCGGTGTACTTGATCCCTCAGTTTATGACCTGGGATTTCACCTGAGACCTCTGAGGAGAAATATCTGAATGTGAAGAATGTACAAACACGTATATTTTGATGAAACAAAGTGCTTTCCCGTTGACATTTGAGCAGGTCTTCACAGCTCCTTTTTAAATTTTAATAGTTCTGAGCCACATTAGCAATAGAGCACGCATTCAAAGGTTGATAACCACCTAGGGAATCTGAATAGTGGTTTTTCTAGTTGCTTTTTTTCTGTAGCAGAAAAGCCACGGTGTAATATTGCCTATTTTTGGTTTTCTTATGAAAGAAAGTCACTATACTGTGCACGTAAATACGCAACAGTACAGTGACTTCTGTAGTGTGTTTTCTGGAGCTGGATATACTTCTAACCCATGCAATATGAGAATTCAGTGGTGTTGTTCTGGGAGGGGGTGGGATGGAACACCAAACCAGCCTAAGTCTGAGTAAAATACAGCAGCCCTTTAGCTTAGCCTTGAATTCCATTATCAGATGATTAGCAAAGGTATATGCAGGTGTATCAAAGATTGCTCTTTAAGAAAGGCAAACCATTTCACTTAGACTCTAGGAAATGACTCCAAACTTGGTTCTTTACAAAATCACTGTGACAGTGAAAAATATTTCTATTTGAAGAGCATGGTTTGGGTACCTTCATGAAGTTTTAAAGCAGTTTTTGCTAGCTGTTAAGCGCTGCAGAAGGTACATATACTAGCTCATGGTTGCCTTTGGAGGAGAGTGAGGATGCCAAAGGGCCCATTGCTGTCCCCAGTATGGGGAATCCCACTGAAAGAGCAGAGAAGGGCTCTTGAAAGGTGACAAGTCCCAGTGGTTTTTTGCAATAACATGTCCTAAAATGCAGTGGCCAGCAGGACTAGGCTGGCCACAGGAGAGGCTGATTCTTCCTCCTGGTGCCAACAGAAGGGGAAGAAAGGTGTCTTTTGGGAAGGGAAGACTTGGGGCTGGACTGTGGCTGAGCAGTGGCTTGGTCCCCGCCATTGGTAGCGGGGCAGCGCGTCACTGTGTCCATCCTCACCAGTAACCGCAGATCCAGTCACTCCTGCTTATCTGCCACCTTTAAGTTTTGTGTGCAGTAATGCAGCACCTCTCACTGGGTGTTCAGAGGCTCTCAAGAAGGAGTGAGTCTGCAAGGACCATGTTTAACACTGGAGCTGTAGAACTTGCAAGATATTAGCCTTAGAAGCAGCTGCCAGTGTGTTTGAGCTTTGGCAGCAGAGTCTTAGGTATTATTGTGGGGCTATAAAATGAGTATTTTAAAAATGAGAATTTTTTTTTTTTTGTCCTTTAAAAAATGCCTGTTCCAAGCTTAAGCTTAAGAAGAAAGACAAATGAATATTCACTCTTTCAGGCTGTAGTTGTATTTTCTGCTTTGATCATAATATCCATAGATATCTTTCTATATGCAAAGAATATGGAAGAAGTATATAGTTTTCTGGATATATAAGCCTTTCTTCAGGTGAGGAAGACTTAATAGCCTAATAAATATATCATGTCTACTTACCTTGTCTTACTGGTATCCTTGGGTCCATGAGCTTATAGAGTCCTGCAGCTGTGCCAGTAGCAATGCATACAGTTCACTACTGAGGTCCCTTCCCAAAGAGATCAACCTAACATAAATGGGATTTATCACTGCCTGTTAATTTATTGTGTTTAAATTCTAGAGAGGTAACCAAAGTCCTGTAAGTTCCATGTGATACTGCAGTGAACTTCTGTGTATTTGGTGTGGTTTTTTTTTTTTTGTTGTTGTTGTTTTGGGGATGAGGTTTGGTTTTTGGGGGGTTTTGTTTTGTTTTTGGTTTTATACCTTTTCTTTTAAGGGGATGTTTTAATCAAAGGATTCTAAGTGTGTTATTTAGCTGCCAATCATGCTCAGCCTGCCCTTGAGCCTTCCAGCCCTTTCTCAGCCTGTGTGGGAGTGGACTTTGCCCTTGCCTCCCACTCCGGCAGACCTGCATTAAATGTTTGCTCTCCTGCTTGAGCGTATTGCAGGGTTAGTGCCCAGACAAGTTCCCTTTTCATTGACAGATGAAATAACAATAGCTGGCATTAAGAGCAAGCCAAGTGTTTTCTTTGGGTTTCCCTGAAGGGCCTCTTTTGTCTCTATCATCTCCGCTCAGGGAAACCTGTACACCTTGCTTAATCTGAGGGTGCTGTTGAGATGCTCTAGCTTCTGAAGCCAGAAGTAGGTCAGCACCCGTGCTAAGATTTCTATCCACTCAGCTTGCCTGCTAGCAGGAGCATCCTAGTGAGGCTTTGCAAATGGCTCCTGTCCAGCAGGGTGGTTCAGGCTGATGTGGACCAAAGAAGAGGGTGAAACATCCATAGTGGTGCAAAAGGAGAGTAGAGGAAGGAGGTCTTGATGTACTGTCATATACTTGGTGTTTATATGGCTGTTTAAGTCAAAGGAGGAGCAAATTGTGGATAGTTGGATGAGCCTGAACAGAAGTTTTCAGGTTCCTGGTGTGTTGTTGTGTGTGGCTCTAGTCTGGCTGTGAGAAGTCAGCAACTTGTCTGGGCTGTAGGGATGTCCTAATTAGCCACATGTTCACAAGGTGGTTTAACCAGTTGAAAAACAGGATTTTAAGGTCTATTTTAAAGCAAAGACAGTATCTAACATTGTAGACATTATTACCAGGAAGGGTTATTAAAAAAATAAAGGGTGGGAATTTTCTCCCTAGTTTAATTTGAGAAAAGAGATTTTTAAAGGGGCACATTAACCCACTGTTTCTGAAATGGGGCTGAAAAAATCTTTGAGGACACTGAGCTTTCCTGCCCTCATTGCTAATTTGTCACAATTACCCTTTTGGTTAAAAAGAAATGCCTTCTTGGTGTTATTGATTGAAAAATCCTATGCAGCTAAAGAGGAAAACTTTGGTTTTGTGAGAAGCTGCAGAGAAGAACACAAAGCGGTAAACAGTGGGTAAACACGGAGCAGGAGAATAACTTCCTGTCTCTCCAATTTTAGATGCTCTAGAAACAGGTATATTTTTCAAACTGGCATCTTCAGACCAGACATTAGCCTTGTAGAGAAGCCTCCATTATGAATATGAACATCTGGAAGGAGTGGGAGACCAAAAGAGAAGGGAGGTCAGCCGTGGTTTTAGTGATATGAACAGATAATCTTGGATGTAGTGCTTCATGTGGTAGGGAAGTAAGTCTCATAGGTGTCAGGTCTGCTCTGTTTTTATTGAAAGTGGAGACTTTGACAGTACTTGGTGCGTTTTCCTGGGAGGTCTAGCTACATGGTATCATCTCCATCTTTCAGCAT